CCGCGCCCCGCGCCCCGCCGCGGACATGGGGCCGCCCGAGGAGGGGGGACACCGCCGGGGCATGGCCATGGCGGCGGCGGGCGACGAGGAGGAGGAGGCGGCGGCGGCGGCCAACTCGGGCCCCATGCACCACCAGCGGGTGCTGATCAACATCTCGGGGCTGCGCTTCGAGACGCAGCTGGGCACCCTCAACCAGTTCCCCGACACGCTGCTGGGCGACCCCGACAAGCGCATTCGCTACTTCGACCCGCTCCGCAACGAGTACTTCTTCGACCGCAACCGGCCGAGCTTCGACGGCATCCTCTACTTCTACCAGTCCGGGGGCAAGCTCCGCCGGCCCGTCAACGTCTCCATCGACGTCTTCGCCGACGAGATCCGCTTCTACCAGCTGGGCGAGGAGGCCATGGAGCGCTTCCGAGAGGACGAGGGCTTCATCAAAGAGGAGGAGAAGCCCCTGCCTCGCAATGAGTTCCAGCGCCAGGTCTGGCTCATCTTTGAGTACCCCGAGAGCTCCAGCTCAGCCCGGGCCATCGCCATCGTCTCCGTGCTGGTCATCCTCATCTCCATCATCACCTTCTGCCTGGAGACCCTGCCCGAGTTCAGGGACGAGAGGGAGATGCCCGTACCCCTGCCCCCACAAGGTGGAGGTTTGAATGGCACGCCCGGGGACTCCCCACCCATGCAGCCACCGAGTAGTCTGGCTGATCCCTTCTTCATCATCGAGACCACCTGTGTGATCTGGTTCACCTTCGAGCTCCTTGTGCGCTTCTTCGCCTGCCCCAGCAAGCCCGAGTTCTCCCGCAACATCATGAACATCATCGACATCGTGGCCATCATCCCCTACTTCATCACCCTGGGCACCGAGCTGGCCCATGAGCAGCAGCAGCCCGGGGCTGGCAGCAGCAATGGGGGTGGGGGCCAGCAGCAAGCCATGTCCCTGGCCATCCTCAGAGTCATCCGCCTGGTCAGAGTCTTCAGGATCTTCAAGCTCTCCAGGCACTCCAAGGGGCTGCAGATCTTGGGACAGACTTTGAAAGCCAGCATGAGGGAACTGGGTCTCCTCATCTTCTTCCTCTTCATTGGGGTGATCCTCTTCTCCAGCGCTGTCTACTTTGCAGAGGCTGATGACCCTGAGTCTCATTTCTCCAGCATCCCTGATGCGTTCTGGTGGGCAGTAGTAACCATGACTACCGTGGGCTATGGGGACATGAGACCTGTCACTGTGGGGGGCAAGATTGTGGGCTCCTTGTGTGCCATTGCTGGTGTGCTGACAATTGCCCTGCCTGTACCTGTCATCGTGTCCAACTTCAACTACTTCTACCACCGAGAGACTGACCACGAAGAGCAGGCTATCCTCAAAGATGAACACAGTAGTGCTCAGGGCAGCACAGGGGGGGGGGAAGTGAAGAGAAGACCCAGTAAAAACTCCCTGAACAAATCTGTTGTGCACTTGGAAAACAGTGAGGAGTTCAACAGTGGCACCAGCTCCTTAGAGAAAACCAATATCAAAGCGAAAAGTAACGTAGATCTCAGAAAATCCCTCTATGCTCTCTGTCTGGACACCAATAGGGAAACAGACCTGTGAGGAAAGGAGACAATTAGAGTTCAGAGGGACAGAAGGATTTTCTGGTGTCAAAAGCTTGCTACTATAATTATTCTTTTAGTACCAATTAGTTTTTTAAGTCAGGCTGTATTTTATAAATTGATCACTGTCCTGAGCAGTCCTCCAGGAATACATGTTTTTATGTTCTTTTTCCATGACACAAAGGGTCACCTATTTTTAAAATAGACTAAGAATAAGCTACGCTCCATGATGCAGGAGCTGGTAAATTATGACAGTGAAAAATCTAATTTGTAGAAACTTATTTTAGCAAACGATCATTGGTTTTAAATGAATAATTTGTAACCAATTCAGTTGCCCCGAGTTTAGTATAAAGAACTGGGGGATGTGTGTGTGGAGAATGACTGGATTGGGGATGGGAGGGGGGAGGTTGAGGGGTTTTGTACTGTAGTTTCAAACTGAAATTATTCAGATATATTTTGTATCTGTATGACTGTATTTATGGTTGAAAGGAGATTTCTTATTCCTGTGAAATATGATATCATTAAAGCACTAGGAACATTAGCAGATCAGCACTGAGTTTTCCACTAGTGATCAGTACAGATCTGGTTATCTTGTATGTGAAGTGAATTTGGTGCTTTGAGCCCTAGAGCAGAAAACTTCTGTTGTCATTGATATGTTAGTTTCTTGTGAGCCTTAAATTATTAAATATTGTAGATATTCTTCTTTATAAATAATTTTACTAGTTACCTTCCTCTTTCAGAATTTCTAAGTAATTCAGTCATGTGCTTACCGGCCCCACTCAAAAAAGTATGTGCAGCTTTTTTTTTTTTCTTTTTTTTTTTTTTTTTTTTGTGGTTTTACAGTTTTATACCTTTGTTATATTTTTGAGACTGAAAGGAAAAAAACATACTGTTACTGGTTTCAATCCAGTGCACAACAGATCAAAAGTGATCTGAACAGATTTTCAAGTGCACAACAGATCAAAAACATGAGGGAGTGGATAGGCACAATGAGAAAGTAGAATATTGAGTGCAATATCTGCAAAACTCCTTTCATTGTACGCTCCAGGTTTCTTGAGCGCGTGTATCAGTCACCTTTATGTATGCACACACCATTTGTGTACACAGTTCTCTGGATTTGGTTATCTTAGACCAGGAGTCGATGGCACTTCAGGAGTTGAACACAGTGTGCTGTGCTGCTCAATAACCATCGCGTGGCTTTGCTCTTGGACATGGGTAGAAAGCACTATCTTTTCATCAAAACACACCCCTGGTTTCTTTTATTTCCAAACAAAACCTTCTCACTGCTGTGGATTTTACAGTTGAGGTGTTGTTGAGAGATGAGTGACACGTTATCTTCATCAAGATCACAGCTTATTCTGAAGACTGACACAAAGTTGCACCTTTAGCTCAAAGAGCTTTCTTACCATTTCTCTTGCAAAGGACATCTCTGTTTCCCCCTCCAACTTCTGTTTTATTGCTGAAGGATGTTCCATGCCTTTCCCACATCCTGTGACACAGCAAGAGTAGCAGGGAAGAGAAGGCTTGATTGTCAACATTGCTCAAGGTTTGTTTCTAACAAATTTTCTAATATAAATAAGTGCTCAGTTGGGATTATAATTTATTCAAGTACCTCATCTATGTCCTGAGATAAATTGAGATCAGCTTTCCAGAGCAGCACTCTGACACTCTCTTCCCCAGACACAAATGCTGCTTTCCTGTGCCTGACTGTGCTCTTTTATGATAATGCCCATGATTAATTTAATTTAACTTAAATTTAATTTAATGATAATGCATGATGATTTTTTCCTTCCTAGTCAGTAAAATAAGTGCTAAGCAGTCATACTTTTCATGAACATTGTGCTCAGCCCAAAACCCAAGGCTGAGGGGAAGGACTCTGAATCTCATAATAGAGAACAGCATCTTTCACATTAATTTTAGAATTTTAGATGTTGGTTACTTGGTTGGTTTGCTTGTTTATTTAGATGGGGAATGAGACTGTAATGCGGTGAGGAGCTGTCTGAAACAAGACTGACAGGCAAAGTGCCCAGTGCAGTTGCACTCCAGACTCAGGGAGATCTCCACTTTGCTTTGGTGGCAGTTTTTGTACTAGGGGGAAGTGCAGAATCAGCTCTTTGGTGAGGCTGAATCTCAGATGAAACAAAGAAGTGGTGTAACTCCACTGCACGTGCTGAGATCTGTGTCATTGATGGACATAGAGTAAGGCTTTTGCTCAGACAAGTGCTTTGATTTGCCCTCAATGATCACATCCATCTGACTTGCCTGAGTAAGCACCAAACAATTGCAGTGAGTCTTTCAGGGTGAGGTTTTCGGGTGGTTTTTTGTGAACTACTACCCCCACTTTCCTGACCACCAGAGTTTGGTCTTCCAGCTGTACGTTGTGTTGGATTGGGCTGTTGGCTCCCCAGAGCAGAGGCAGTGTGTCCATGCAGCCATTTTTTTGGAATCCTGTGTAAGGATTTTAGGAATTGGGATTACATCTCTGTAGTATTTGCTGCAAGCTGATGTCAGTGAAAGCAGATCAGGGTTATGGGGCGTGGGTCAAGCTGATCTTGGTGATACAAAGGGAAGGCCTGGACTTCGTCTTTTTTACTTTTCTTCTTCTACACCAGTGTATCCATTTGTTGCTTTTGCTGAACTGGTTCTCTTCTCATGGAAGCACAATTTAAAGTGCTGCCTTCTCGTCCTGGAGCTGCCTGAGCTCACTCATCTGACAGGAAATTAAATTCAACCTTCTGTTTGAATATGCTGTGTTTTTCCATAACAAAAACCCAGATTTTTTCATTAGAAAGAAAACAAATAATTATTTTAGTATGGTTAAAAATATTTGCTTGGTTTGTGTTTCTAAACAGTTGTTAAGCACAGTTCAGGCAAATTCGGTTTTGACACCTTTACAAAATATTTTATATTTCATATTACATTATTTCTATTGGCTTACAGAACACTAAAGAAATTGCTTTCTAATGAGAGGTACTGCTGAAAAATACTGAGTAATGTGACCAGGAACATGGTCAGAGCCCAGTTCAGCAGAGCATTTAGCATGGACACATTTTTAAACCAACACAATTTTCAGCAGGTGTTTTAGATGCACCGATCTTTATGATTTTGAGGTTTGAGATCCTGAGTTGGACTTGGATGTTCCTTGTGGGTCTCTTCCAGCTCAGGGTATTCTTTGATTCTCTGATGGTTATTTAAAGATGAGTTATAAACTAAGCTGAAAGCTTGGAGCCATTGTTTCTTCTTGGATTTTGGGGCAAATATGTGTGTTTGTGATACAGTCACGTAATGTGCCAATGCAAATTTGTGCTGCAAAAGAGTGTGAAAGTAAGAGAGAACTGAATCCCTCCAAGAAGGCTCCTGGAAATGTGAGACAGGAAGAGAGTTTTCTCTTCCAAGCCCATCACAAGAAGGAAATACATCCTAACCACTATTGATTTTATGCTAGCTGACCTGGAATGAACTGCAGGCTGAATCAGACCTCTTTCCCATATCAAAAGCATCAAGATACCAGAGCTTAATGAATAGCAATCACTGCAGACATAAAAAACTCCAAACAAACCCAGCCAAACAACCAACCAACACTTTTTTGTAAACTCTTTTGGCTAGGAGCTGCAACAGGGAAGCTCCCTCACCCCACACTTGCTGTAGTTATTAATGGCTTGTCCTCTCACATGGGACACTGTGCACTAAAATGCATTCTTGGAGATGCTGAAGTGAATGTTCATTTGGCTCACTGGTAATGTAAGTTCAGTTTGCTTAGCCTGGCCCAAGGGTAGTCCACATTTCCCTTTCACTTTTCCATCATCCTAAAAAATAATAAAACAGTAACAAGCAGTTATATAACACCATTCATCTCCCAGAGCTTTATGAACAATTGCACCATGCTCTGTGTACAGGCAGGGTAAAGAAAAGGCTGTGGAGTCAAAACCAAGCCTTTCAAAAGATGAGAGGGCTCAGAGAGGGTACAAATAAGAGTGGGCTTGGCTGGCCTGGGAGGTCTGAAATTTGGATCTCAGGGAAGAGAGAGATTCTCTCTCTTGGGCAGCTCTGCAGGTAAGGACTGGGTGCCAGCAGCTGTGCACTGTGACCCATCTGGTGTGGGGTCACTGGACACAGAGGGGACTTAATGCTGCTCTGAACAGCATGAACGTATTCCTCTTTGTGTGCTCTTTTAATTTGGTCTCTGTAAGGAGCACGTGGCACTCCTGCTGGCTGCTCCCTGGCCTCTCCAGCTGCAGACATTGCTGGTCTGGTGGAGCTGATGCTGGCTGCAGTGCACTGAGCCATTCTCCAGGCACTGCCCTTCACCTCCCATTAGGGAACAAAACACATGTCAGAGCACTCTCCATGAGAGATACGTGTGTGCACAAAAAAAGTCTGTCTCTTCTGAAACCTGTCACAGAATCACTGAGGTTGCAAAAAGACTCAAAGGTCAGTAAGTCCAACCTGTGACGGATCACCACTTTGTCAACTGAACCAGAGCCCTGAGTGCCACATCCAGGTGCTTCCTGAACACCTTTGAGGATGGTGACTCCACCACCACCCTGGGCAGCTCATTCCAATACCTGACAACCTTTCGTGTAATGAAATAATTCTTCCTGATCAGTGTCAGTGAAGCTGGTGCTAAGGTCAGATGAGGAGAGCATTTAGTGGCATGTGATATTGCCACTGAGCCATAGTGAGGGACAAGCTTCCTCACTGACATCTGATCCAGACATTTAGCAAGATGCCATGAACAGGAGTGGAATTTGGTAGGGGCCTCAGGGTGGTTGCTGCCATATTTAGGGACTAACTGAAGGAGGGCTTTAAGCACCTCATCAAGACTTTGGCCTTGCCACTTGGCCAGCGGTGTGATCGGAATGTTGTGTGGCAGGCAGGGTGTGGAGAAAGCTTCAGGAATAACGAGGCTGATCCAGTGCAGGACAGAGGAGCAGCAAGGAAACTGGGAGATAAAGCTCTAACAGCATCTGCCTGCCTTTGGTTCAGCTTTAGACATGTCACTGTGCGACCACCAGCCTCACTCCACAGCTACAAATGTCCAAAAAATGAAATAGAAAAGGTCTTTATAATAATATAGCCTATGTCCAATTAAAATCATTGTTCCAAAATCATTCTGCCATGACTTTTGCTATAGACAGCACCATTAATTAGTATTTTTAGATTGTGCCATTTAGTCTTTTTGTAGGTTTACTAATGTATGTTTTTCAGTTGGTTTGTTTGTTGGGGTTTTGGGGTTTTTTAAATTTTCTTTTCTTTTCTGTGTGCGCTAACTGGTCCCCAGTTCTCCTGGTCAGCTTGTTAAAGTTCTGTTTCTCTGGCCTAAATCTGGGACTTCAGGGTGCTGATACTCTTCAGTGGAGCTGGGTCATGCCACCTGACATCAGTGTGTCAGCTCACAAGAGATGTAAACACAGAAATTCTCCAGAAACTCTGTGGGCCCATTGACCAACAATGATACACAACATTTGTGTGATGAAATATTGGGAAAAATATGGTTATAGTAACCATTGAAATAATATGAAATAAAATCTTTTATGGTAATTGGAAAAAAATAAAGCTGATAATGATATGACTAAAAATTCATTTGAATTAGAAATTTTGAAGAGAAATACCAACTTGTTTAAAGAAAAGGAAGGCTTCAAACTGACAGAAAATAGGTTTAGATTGGATATTAGGCAGAATTTTTTCCCTTTGAGGGTGGTAAGGGCCTGGCACAAGTTGCCCAGAGAATCTGTGGATGCCCCAGAAATGACCTGATAGTAAAATGTATATCCTTCCTAGATGGCAACAAAGTGTTTTCATTACAGCTTGGGCTTCCTAGCACACAGTCCTTATGCTTATTGCAGAATTAATAATTTTCCAGAATTTCTAAATAATTTTAGAATTTACCAAAAGTCATCTGCAAGTTGTCTTCTGTATAAATAATTCACAGTCATCAGGGGGATGTTTCCAAATAAATCAGTGTAGGTTTTAACACCTGATTGACAGGAAGAGGAGAAAATAGAAAGATACATCTTATTTCTGTGCTTCAACTGCGGTGTGCCATGGAGATTGTCATTTGCAATTTTGTGGAAAACAGCTGTGGTTATGTTAAAATTGACATTGGAAAGAATGTTGCTGGAGAAGCCACACTGGATGGAAACAGATAATAATTTCCCTCTCAAGACACTGGTTACTCTGACCTCCCCTAGTTTTCTGACAAAGCCAGTTTGGGCATAAATGCTGAAGTATAAGGTCTCTTCTCTTAAATCTCATGCCCAGCCCTGGCCAGGAACAGTGGTTTCCTCACTCCTGTGGGTGAGCAGTGCAATGAAACCTTGCAGCTCTTCTCATGACAATACAGCTGCATAATAAATACTCATGTCAGGGTTGATTGATTTCCATGAAGATGCTGTAGGAAAAGATGTGATTTAAATAGACTACATTGGTCTAAGGGTCTGGTGTGTACAAGGAGTAGGTAGAATTCTTCCTTTGTATGATTTCACTCCAGTAGTGGTGTCTTAGCACGTAGTAATTCCCCCAGAAAATATCACAAAATACATACCA